CTGTGACATAGCTAGACTTACTAGCCATCATATGTCAACATCAAGGCAGGATGAATATGCATTTTTGTTATTGTTTTTCTTTATAGGCCTCATGTTCAGAGAAAAGACATCTGACATGCATCTCTCCTATTTTCTTCTCTAGCGGGGACCCCGATAAATGTGACATCTGGGGAAACACTCCTTTACATTATGCTGCCTCCAATGGCCATTCCCACTGCGTCAAATTCCTGGTCAACTTTGGTGCCAACATTTTTGCCCTGGATAACGACTTGCAGTCTCCACTAGATGCTGCTGCTAGCAGGGAGCAGAATGAATGTATTGCTATCCTGGATAAAGCTGCTACCACCCAGAATTCCATGAACCCCAAGAAGGTCACCAGACTGAAGGAGCAGGCCCAGAAGAATGCCAGGAGGCAGATCAAAGAATGTGAAAGGCTTCAGGAGAAGCATCAAAGCAAGATGGCACGTACCTACAACAAAGAGAACCCTGGGTCCTTTTCTTCTCCCCAGGGGACCTTCTCCAGGTCAACCCTTTCAAATTCTTCTGCTTCTGGTGGGTTTGGGTCACTGTCTAAGGGCATTAAAGACACCTTCAAGTTGAAATTCAAGAAGAACAAAGATACAGCCGAGCAGGTAGGGAACGAAGGCCAAAGCGGGCAGAAGCATGTGATAGAAGTATTCAGAGAGGAGGAAGAAGAGTCATTCCAAGAGGACTTCAAAGAGAAGCTCCGGTTCTCAGAGGTCAGTGATGTGCATCATGAGTCCATTCTCAAGCGTCCAGGTCTAGGAAGTATTGTTTTTAGAAGGAGCAGAGTGCTGAACCCCGAAGACATATCAAGCATCAAGAGGGAGTTGGAATTTAAAATGCCCAGTGAATTGTTTCAAAGACAAGGAGCAGTAAAAGCTGATGAAGATGAGGCTGATGAGGAGCGAGAGGAAACCAGCATCGCATGTGATCTTCCTTGGAAGGAGGAAGAAGTGGAGTGGGAGGAAGATGTGGTTGATGCAACTCCCCTGGAAGTGTTCCTGCAGTCTCAGCACCTGGAAGAATTCCTTCCCATTTTCGTGAGAGAACAGATGGATCTAGAAGCTCTGTTGCTTTGCTCTGATGAGGACTTGCAGCATATACAAATGCAGCTGGGGCCCAGGAAGAAAGTTCTTAATGCCATAAACAGAAGGAAGCAGGTGTTACAGCAGCCTGGGCAGCTGGTCGACACCAGCCTCTGATGGAAGGTGTTGATGAACAGGGTGAGCCTGCAGCATGGGGGTGATGCTGTGGCTCACTGGAAGCACTCCGGAAAGCACCCCTTCTCCATCCAGCATCAGGCCACCAAGAATAGGTGCTAGGGCTTGAGAGATGTCCCCGTTAGAGGCCCAGACTCTGGGAAATACCTGTGCCTATCTAAGTAAACCATCAGTGGGAACACAATGAGACCTTGGGACAAGAAAACAGCATTTCTCTTCAGTTATCTTGTTGATATTTTTGAACAAATGGCTGTTGGATGATAGAAACAGGAAAGCAATTTGTTTTTCTAACTCTGCACTTAAAATTATATTCTCATTACATTAGCCTGCTTCTGATCTGCATAGCGTAGAGATCCTAGTTCTGGTACGGTCCTTAGGCCTGTGACTTTGACTTCTGTGGAAACCAGTCTCTCTCACTGGTATGAAACTCAAAAGCCCAACTTGAATGATGCTTTAACAGATGTTTACAAGAACAGAGTTGAGTTTATAGAACTCCTTGTTTGAAAATGAGGACAGAGTGGAGGGAGGGAGACTGCAGAAAGAGAATATGGTATGCCTGTTGTGGATTGAATTGTGTCCCTTCTAAAATTCGTGTTGCTGAATCTCTAACCCCCAAAGTGAGCAGTTTTGGAGATAGGGACTTTATAGAGGTGATTATAATGGTAAATGAAGTCATAGGATGGGCTCTTAATTCCATATGACTTATAAGAAAAGGAAGGTGTACCAGAGATATGCTCAGAAATGGAGAAAAGAGATCACAGCAAGAAGATGGCTGTCACCAGCCAAGGGAGAGACCTTGGGAGACACCAAACCTGGGGTCAGTTTGGACTTTCAGCCTCCAGAGCTGTGAAAAACAATTTTCTACTGTTTAAGCCACTCTGTCTACAGTGTTTTGTTATGATGGCCTGAGCTGACAAAAATGAAATGTAAACAAGAGGTTGGTGAAGGAGAAGCAGGGAGGATTCAGAAAATGGATGCCTGGCCCTTTTCATGATTTTTCTGGGGGTAATTGCCCCCTGAAATTTAAAAAAGGAGGGGAAAATCTAGCTGTTTTTAGGAAGATTGGTTGTAAAAGTAAATTTTAATACTCATGCTTGCTGTGGTTGTTTTCTCTTTATTATTGAATCTCACCGGTGCTGTGTGTCTGGGAATCCGTTATGTTACAGTTTAGATCTCAAGTGGAGCCCAAAGGCCCATATGTTAAAAGCTTAGCCATCAGCCCTGTAGCTACTGAGAGGTGGTGGAAACCCATCCTCCAGGTGGGATCTAGTAGAAGGAAGTTAGGTCATCTGGGGCATGCTCTGGAAGGGGGTATTGGGACCCCAGCCCTCTCCCCTGCCTTTTTCTGTTCTCCAGCCACGGTGAAGTGAACAGGTTTCCTGTGCCACATGCTTCCACATAATGCACCACCTTGCCACACATCCTAAAGCAATAAGGCTACACGACCACGGATCAAAGCCTCTGAAGTGATGCACCAACATGAGCTTCTCTTCCTTAAGTGGATCTCGGGTTCTTTGTCACGCTGACAGATGACTAAGTGTTGCTTCCTGTTGTGTGACTTTTCCTGAGGAGATGTGAACAAATGTCTTTTCACCCCTGATAGCGCACCTATGACAGATGAAAGAAGCAACTTCACCCAAGTCTAGCATAGTGAACCAGTAAGTCTTTTGGAGTTACTTAAATGGCGTATGGGCAACTCAAAGGTAACTCCATCACCAAAAAGCCCACCCTCAGCATGGGTAATGATTCATGGAAAGTGCATCCCTAGAGCTCCCTGCTCAAGTTCTAGGCAGGCACACTGAAGAGACTCTCTTTTCCCTGGCTGCTAGTCACTGCTTTTATAACCTTGGGAAGGGCCTTGTGTATCTTATGACTTTCCTAAGCTTCCTGAGTTTTCTGATCCTCTCTCTTTTCTCTAGCAGATCACATTTCAATTCAATTCTGAGGCACTCCCTACAACACAAGTGCCATATAAGAAACTGGCAACATTGCTGCTGACAGGTTTTTAACAATTTTTTTTAAATTAATTATTTCAGTTAGCATAAAAACTTACTGGTTACACTGTGGCATTTTCTTACATAGTTATTATTATACATTGCTCTTATTTGCTACTCCCTACAACACAATTGCCATATAAGAAACTGGCAACATTGCTGCTGACAGGTTTTTTACAATTTTTTTAAATTAATTATTTTAGTTAGCATAAAAACTTACTGGTTACACTGTGGCATTTTCTTACATAATTATTATTATACATTGCTCTTATTTGCTCCTTGCATGCCTTCATTTGCCCTACCCCTCTTATTGATCCCTTTCCTTCCCCCCAAACAGTCCTGGTTCTGCTTTCATGTTATACATACATACATATGTACATACATACATACATACACATTCCATCATCCTCTATTGTCCTTCCTGTTTTTTGAACTTCTTCCTTTTCTCGCAGCCCTTTCTACTTTTCACACACACACACACACACACACACACACACACACACACACATTCTAGATTCTGCAATGAAAGAAAATATGGGATCTTTGTTTCTGAGTCTGGCATATATTGTTTAACAATCTTTGCACCCATCCATTTTCCTGTAAATGTCATAACTTCATTCTTTACAGTCGAATAAAATTCCACTTAGTAGAATTACCACATTTTCTTTATCCATTCATCTGTTGATGGACATCTAGACTGTTCTCATGTGCACAGTGGAGCAAGAAACATGGATGTAAAGGTATCCCTGTTGAAGAACTTTTAGTCCATCAGGTAGGTACCCAGGAGTGGTGTAGCTGCATCATATGGTAGTTCTATTTTTAGTTCTTGAAAGAACCTCCACATGGATTTCCACAGTGACTACCTAGCAGTGTATGACATTCCTTATCCCCCCAATCCTCACCAGTACTTTTATGCTGATAGTTTTTGAAACCCCAAATCCAAATCCAAATCCAAACACTTCTGAATAGTTGATGTTCACTGGATACTTATAGCCAGACTTACATCATGAAGAATTTACCACTGCCTGTGTTTATAATATAGAGACCATTGTGTCCAGCCTACTTTCTCACTCACATCTGTTTGAGTTACTTCAAAAGGCATGAAGAAGGATACAGCTTAGGGATGATACAGAGGCTTAAATCTGATGAACTCATTCATTCTTCCCTGATGAATGGATTCAAGAAGCTTGTGGATTATTAGGTATGACACATTGGGGAATATGTTTACAGATACCGTGTTTTGTTCTGGAATAAACTGAAGCTACACTTCAATAATGCACACAAAGGCAGTTGTATCATCAGGCACTCAATGCTCAGCCTGTCTCTATCACACATAGTTATTATAAAGGCCAGGTTTCCCCTCATCAAATATTCTTCAGGAACTTCCTGAGACACTATTTCTGCTTGCTACTCCAACTTACATAGTAGGGGGAGGTCATCAGGTTGGGAGAAATGAGAAACATGGACCCTCACCCTTTTTGGAAGCTATTGGTCACCAGACATGTTTTTGTTTTTTCTGGGGGCTTTTGGCTTCTTAATTACAAGACAGATGGATTTATTTCATCATTGATTCTCTTAGACTTAGGTAGACTGAGATGCCATTTCTACTACCTCTCACCAAAGGAGTTCTGAGTTGATCTAGAAACTCCAGTATTCCTTTAAATTTTAGAATAGACACAAGATGCAACATAGGATACAATGGAATTTATATTAACTTTCCCGAAGAGGAAAACCTGTAGAGGTGGAAAGTGGATTAGTGTCTTCCAGGGGCTGGGAAGAGGAGGAACAAGTAGTGACACTGTCAAGTACCAGGTTTCTTTGGGGCAATGGTTGTACAACCCTTATGAAAACCCATTGAGTTGCACACCTTAAAATGGTGAACTATGCTGGGGATGTAGTTTAGTGGCAGTGTGTGAGTCTCTGGATTTGATCCCTCACATGGATGAAAAAAGAAAATAGTTTTATAGTGAACAATATTCAATTAAAAGTGGGAAAATGTTATTCCAGTTGACCTCCTTTGGAGTCTACGGGAGTGGATGAAAGCACTTGATCCTCTTGTCTCTTTCCCACAGAAAATATCAAAGCACACAGTGAAGAATTGGAAAATGTTTTATTTCAGGGAAATACAAAGTGAAACAGAAGGGTAGGGAATGCCATTATCACCCGGTATAACAGAAGAAATGACCGCCTGGGTTTGCTTTCCAGCTACAAATGTGAATAGGGATCTCAGTAGGTTAGGGAAGAGTGACAATCACAGAATCTAGTTCACTGGGGGCTGGGCTTCCTTATTTGATCTAGACATTACCAGACAACCTTATCCTTGGAGCAGTAGCATCCAGTTCAGTACAAGGCTTCATTTCATTTGCCAGATAACCAGGAATCATATACTAGTTTGGCTGCAACCAGGTCTTCCACCGCCATTCCTGGAGTGGAAAGAAATTTGGTTCACCTTTTATCAGAATGGTTTTTCCCAAAACAACCCTGTGGGTTTTCTGATGCTAATGCCCATCCGGGATAACAGAAACTGCTACCCAGAGGTGGGCTCAGATGTGGTTAATCTACAAAGGGCTGCTCAACTCAAGGACTGTGATCCTAAGCAAGAAATGTCCAAATGTTATATCTCTCAAGGTCTAGTTCAGAGGTCAGCAACATTTCAGTAAATAGTTTATGCTTTGTAGGTCCCTGTCACAGTGGCTCAGTCCTGCCCTTTTGTGGGAAAGTAGCCACAGGTGACAGTGAGCCTGTGTTCAATAAAGATTTATTTATGGACATTACAGCTTGAATTTCTTATTTCTTTTTTATGTATGTATGTGGGGGTTCATGTGCCTGTGTGGGTCTGCATGCACGTGTGCATGCATGTGGAGGTCAGAGGTCAAGGTTGGCTATCTTCCTCAACTGCTCATCTTATGTTTTGTGTCTGTTTAGTTGGCTTTGTTTTTGAGATGGTCTCTCACTGAACACAGAGCTGCTGGCCAGTGAGTCCTAGGGATCTTCTTATCTCCAACCCCCTCCTCCTAGCGCTGGAATGACAGGCGCATACTGCCACATCTGGCTTTTTACATGGGTTTCAGGGGATCCAAACTCAGATCCTCATGCCTGTGTGGCAAGTACTCTCTGGACTATGCCATTTCCTCAGCCTCCTATCATTTTTATGTGTCTTGAAAGCTTATTCTTTTATTTGCCCCACCCCAATCATTTAAAAATGTAGAAACTAGGGGATGGAGCGATGGCTCAGCAGTTAAGAGCACTGACTACTCTTGCAGAGGACCTGAGTTCAATTCCCAGCACCCACATGGTGGCTACAAACTGTCCTTAACTCCAGTCCCAGGGGAATCCGACACCCTCTTCTGACCTCCACAGCATTGCATGACACAGGTGCACTCACATATATGCAGACAATACACTCATACACATAAAATAAAAATAATAAAATATTTTTAACAATGTAGAAACTTTATAGTTCATAGCTCATACAAAAACAGGTGGTTGCCAGATGTGGTAACTCATGCCTTTAATCTTAGCACTTGGGAGGCAGAGGCAGGCAGATCTCTATGAGGTTGAGACCAGCCTGATTTAAGGAGGGAGTTCCAGGCCAGCTGGGGCTACAGCAAAACCCTGTCTCAAAACAAAACCAAAACCAAAACCGGTGGTTGGCTGGGTTGAGCCTACAGGTTTGCTGACTCTCGTCTATTTTAAACCCTCTTTACCATCTTACTTTAATCTTGTAAAGGTTGCATATCTCCTCTAAAAATCTGGAACTCAAAATACTCCAAAAATATGAAACTTTTTGAAGATGATGTTGGAACTCAGAAGTTCTTCAATTTGAGATCTCTTTGGATTTTTCTTATTAGGTTCAGCCAGACCAGAGTCAATGTATGGAAGTATTCCAAACTACAAAAAGGATCGAAATACGAAGCACTGCGAACCCAAGGATTTCAGATAAGGGATATTATTCAATCTGTAATTTTGGATACGCACCTTAATTTTTATACCTAGATATATACAAGGGATTAATATGTATCAGTTAGATGAGAGGGTGTGCCAATAAACCAGCCCTTCAAAGAAGGTAAAAAACAGCCAGAAGAGAAGACTTCTGCCTCTTTAATGAGGCTGGCTGATCTCTGCCTTGCTATGAGCTTGGAAATTTCCATGTACAACTGGATCAATGAGATGTCACTGCATAAAGCTTACACTGCCTTCATTGATCTAGTACATAGGAAATTAAAAAAATACTTAACCAGATAAAGCTTGGATACTAATTGACAGCATAGATGCTAAGTGACCAGAGCATTCTTTTCATTGTTTGATAAGTTCATGCATAATATAATGTGTTTTGATCCAATCTACCCACATTCCCTCCCCTCTGATAGTTCCCTATTCCCTCACCAATTTTTCCCAATATCATGTGCTCTTTTTTTGTTAACCCACTGTGTCCTCTTAGTGCTGCCTGTATGTCCAAGGGTGTATGACCATCTACTGGAGTATGGGTAGCCTCTCAGGGACCACATCTTGGAAGAAAACTGACTCCCCACTCTGGCAGCAGCCATCAATTGTCACTAGCTCCTCAGCTAGGGGAGGGACTTCATGAGCCCCTTCTCCATCCATGCTGGGATTTTGGCTGGCTTGATCTTGGGCAGGTCTTGTGCATGTAGCCACAGCTGCTGAGTTCATGTGTGCAATGGTCTTGTCATGTCCAGCAAATATTGTTTTGCTGTAGATGTCTGCTGCTGGACAGAGCACTCTTAATACTCTGGCAAGTACTCAAGTTTCTACACCTTGATATAAAGAAGTATGTAAGGTCTTAGAGCAGAAGGCACTCTCAAGGGACTCAAGGTAGTAACTATTTATCAAGCGCTTAACAATCTATCAGTTCCGTTCCTATGTGTATCTTTTTCCTTATATTTCATCGAGTGAGAGACTAGATCCAAGGGGCAGATTGGTCATTGGAAGCTCACCCTTCATTGGGCTTCAACCTATACTAGTCAAGGTGGTTTTGAACTCCCCATGAAAGCCCATCCCCGAGTATCAAGTGGGAGGAAGGAGGAAATGGAAGCCTATTAGGTTCTATACTTCCTACCTTGATCTCCTTTAGGCTGGGAAGGAGGAAATGGAAGCCTATTAGGTTCTATACTTCCTACCTTGATCTCCTTTAGGTTGGGTCTCTGTCAGTTCCCTTCAGCTTTTAATATCTTTCTTCTGCTTTTTCTCTGGTGGTATCTACTTCTGAACTCACTTATGTTTAAGCCTAGGTGATTTACTACACTTAGATGTGCAAACTGTCTTCCTTGCACATTTCACTTAATCCTCACAAGGACTCAAGGTAAAGGTTGTGAAGAAACGTTGGTTCTGAGACATCAAGTAACTTGCCCAAGAGCATATATTCAGTGCATAACACGGAATCTATCTCAGGATTGCCCAACCCAGAGTTCATAGGCCTAAACTCTCTACTCAAACAGGTCAATAATTGACCTGGATGACAGACTTCACAATGATTCAATGACAGAGCCTGGTAACTCATTCATCTTTCCTTTCCCTAGTTGATAAACCTGCCTTTTTCCCATGGTTGAATTTGTGCTCAGGGAGCAATCAGTGGGTCTTACCTAAAGACTTGAACACTGTGGTCTTCTCACAGTGGGCTGGCTTTACTCCCTTCACCACCTCTCCCAGCTCAGCGAAGATCTCAGCCTGTGATACAAACACATGCTAACTAAGGATGGAACTACAATCGGTGCAGCGCTGGCTTCTGAGGCGAGCATAGAACCCTGAACTGGACAGAGAATGAAATAGGTTTTTAAAAGAACCACCCATGAACTAGATGTTATCAGGGAGGAAGGTGCCCCCGATATTCTTTTCGCGTAGCCCCTGCCTTTTGGACATCACAAGCACAGAGATTATTGTGTCTGGCCAACTGCCAGGTCCCCTGTGTTCATGAAGAAATTGGCATGCTATTATCTGACTGTGCACTTTGCAGCCCACTTCTTGCTTCTATGCCCTGATTTCGGGGGGACTAGGTATCCAAAGGATAGCCAACCACAGCCCTATTGTGCTGCCACATCAGGAAGGGTTCCAGGCTACAACAGAATCCTTATCTCCCAATCCCACATCCTTATAGGACAGCACATTGGAAAAAAAAATCAAATTTCTCCCTCCAGGCAGAGAAGACATGAAAACACATGTCACTGCCATATGGCCATATTTTTCTGGAATGGGATTAAGATGGCTGCAAGATATTTAGGGGCTTCTTCATCAGGAGGTGAGGTACCAAGGTCTGGAGGGGAAGTTAGTGAAACTCTGGGAGCCAGGCCAGGGCCAGCTTGGTGGCAGCTCTGCTGAGGAGAGGAGGCTCACCCCTGACAACAAGACATCTCCTGACTCCTTCAAGGCAGCCTCCCGGGAATCCACATATAGCACGGCTTGCTTCATGAGTTCATCATCCAGTTCTCTCCAGTCAGGTCTGCTGGCTCCAATGGCTACAAGACAGGAAAACAGGCCCTCAGCGCAATGAAGTCCCCCATTAGGAGAAAGAGAAGTGAGCAGAGGGCACACAAGAATATTCAGACTTACGATACCCCTCCTTTCCCAGTCCAGGTCCCTCCCAATCAGTAAGATGGAGTGCTTCTTAAAAATAACACCATTTTATCTTTTCCAAAAAAATTATTTGCATATGGGCCAGGCATAGCGGTGCACGCCTTTAATCCCAGCACTTGGGAGCAGAGGCAGATGGAGCTCTGTGAGCTAGAGATTAGCCTGGTCTACAAAGTGAGTTCCAGGCCAGCCAGGACTACCATAGTGAGATGTCTCAAAAACATTTAAAAAACCAGAAACATTATTTATATGTATGTGTATGCTGGTGCATGTATACATATGTGCAGGTGTTTCTGAAGACCAGAGATTAACCTCAGTATTGTTCCTCAGAATAGCTGTCCATCTTGTTTTATGAGACAGGGTTTCCTCACTGGGACATGATGTTCTCTGATTAAGCTATATTGGCTGGTCAGTGAACTCTGGTGATCTTTCTGTGTCCAGACATTACAAGTGCGCACCACTGTATTTTGTTTTTGATGTGGGTATGTGGGTTCTAGAGATTGAACTCAGGTCCTCATGCTTGTATGGCAAGAACTTTACAGACTGAGCTGTTTCCTTCTTTTCCTTACCCTACTTCATTCCCATAAGATTCTGAGGTCACTTTTATTTTAAAAATCTATTTTTCAAAATTGTGTGTGTGGCGGGTTGGCGGGGGGTATGCGCACAAGAGTACAGGTGTCTGAGCAGGCAAGAGGCATCTGATCACCCATGGAACTAGAGTTACAAGTAGTTGTGGGCTGCCCAACTTGGGTAGAAGGAACCAAAGTCAGGTCCCCTGTAAGAGCAGCAGTGTACATTCTTAACCATTGAGCCATCTCTCTAGCCCCAGCATTCGTTTATTAGGTAACTACTGTCTGTTCTACTTTACATTTACCTTCTTTATTGATCTCGTAAGTACTCTTCCATGTCTGACTCCATTTCACAGATGTACAAATTAAAACTCTGAAGAGTGAAGATCTGGCCACGCACGCCATCGGTGACTCTAGGTCTGTTAGAACACCACAGCTTCACCTGAGGGCCTATTCTGTTTGTTGGAAGTGATGCTTTGCACCCATCACAAAACACAGACCCTCCGTGCTCCTTATCTTCTGTGGGCTTGCTCTCTAATCCTTCCCATTCTTCACCCCAAACTGCCTTTTCTCCTAACTCATGACAAAAGAGCCCAGTGTCAAGGTCACAGAGAAACCATAATAGAGAAAAGTGGGAGGGCTGGGGCTGTAGCTCAGTGGTATGGCATCTGTCTAACATGTATGAGGCCCTAGGTTCCATCCTCAGTACTTCAGGAAGAAGGAAGAGGACGAGGAGAAAAAGTATGAGGAGGAGGAGAGGAGGAAGGGAGGCAAGGAGGAAAAGGCAGAGGAAGCTTTGACTTAAGATTGTCTTGACAAAAGAAAACAAGCTGGGGAGATAGCTTAGAGGGTAAAGCACTGGCCATTCAAATGTAAGCACTTGAGTTTGAATCCCCAGAACATATATAAAGCCAATGTGATAGTGTGCATCTGTAATCCCAGTGCTCCTAAGGGAGCAGGGAGGCAGAAAAAGAATTCCTGGAACATCACGAATGAGCTAGCCTGGTGTACACAGAGTTGAACAACTGAGACCCTGCCTCAAACAAGGTGAGAGGTGAGAATGGATACCCAAGGTTGTCCTCTGACCTCTACACATGTATGGTAGCGTGAGCACACACACACACACACACACACACACACACACACACAGAGAGAGAGAG